TAATAAATGAAATCCTTAATGAAATGGCTTTAATATTTACATTGAATACTTTATTTTAATTTCTAATTTATTAGATGTACGGTAAACTAAATCTATATGTAATTAGATGTAGATTAGAAATAAAATACTTATAATAACTATTTAATATGAATTTTTTAATAAAGAGCTATAACCAACATACATTTTATTAATTTTATTGTTTCAAAATAGTTAATGTATTAAATATGTTTAAAACAAGCATTTTAATTATTATACTCAAAATATTAATTTATTTCCACCGCTTATATGGCATAACATTTGGTGGACTTGTGTTGGAATACACGGCAAACGAGTGGACAATAAAAAGCAGTCAATTCTGGAAATATTACGGATATTTTGTGACCATGGTAGTGATCATATTTGTTGCGGTATTTGGATCATTATTTAATTTAGACACAATATTGTCGAAAGTTGTGCCCACATTAAGCATCATACATTTCACGATTAATTTAGCATATTGCCTTACCGTTTGCGTTGCAATATATCACTTGAATTTTAAATCATTTTCAGCGATTACCAAGATGTCTTATTTGACAAACATTATAAATTTAAAATTTTCTCGCAATTTATTTTTACTATTATTTATATACATTATATATATACTTATTTTGTGGAGTATGGTCATTATCAATGCCGTGAATACACCGTTTACATGGAGAGTAATATGGATTTTATATTTCAATCATGTTCACACCTGGTCCTTTACCCTACCATTCATTGTCTCATTAATGGCCATATATTTGTCGGATTTAATTGAGTTAATAACCCGCAAATTAAATGATTGTATGTTATCGATGAGTATATTTATATCTTAATTAATGAATTATATTACAGTCACACCTAAAACTCAATTGTCGGCGAAGTAACAAAATTCAAGGAAACTATTCATACGAATCCAACAAATGGTGTCATATATTGACAGTCAATGGAGTGTTGTGTTTGCATTGAATACACTGTTGTCTATCTGTACCGTAATGATTACCATTTATACCCTGGCAAACATCAATGAAATACCATTTTTTAAAAGCTTCTCTCATTTACTTTACTTCAGTTGTATTGTCTGTATTTGTCAATTCTGTATGAGTTGTTATTTTTGTGGTTTAATTGAGGAAAATGTTCATAAACTGAATGAGATATTAGACGGTATGGTATACACGGATTTGTCTGATAGTGAGTACAAGTCATGGCTTTTATTCAGAAATATTACTCGAAATACAAACGCATTTGGGATAACTATCGGGGGTTTCGCTAAATTCAATAAATCAACATTTATTGCGGTTTTGTATAAGATTATGATTATATTATATAATAATAGATAATTAGACAATATTTTAATTATGAAATTGTATTTTCACAGATATTCACGTTTGTCATGAATTATACGGTGATTCTCATACAGACCTCACAGTCGACTGACAGTGAGACTAAGACTACGAATTCAAAGCAAACTCGTCCTGTTGTTTAACATTGATCAGTTATAAACCTACAATACAATATAGTCACACCACACACAGAATTGTACTTAATAAACTATTGTATTATTTTATTAATATTTATTTATTAATCTCAGTAATTCTAATAATGATAATTACATTTGAATTTAAAATATAATAATTGCAAATTATTGTATTGTAAAAATATACAATTATAAAGGGTTTCCCAAAAAGTGTTGTCCGCCGTCGACCACCAGATCTTCGCCGGTTATGTATTGGGCGTCAGTCGAGGCCAGGAATACCACGGCTTTGGCGATATCCAGGGGTTCGCCAATTCTGCGCAGGGGTGCCAACTGTTTCATTAACTCTATCCATGTCTTTGGTGAACCCTCCACTTCGGTTCCGCCCGGACTAATGCATATTTGTAATAATTAATGATCAGATGATCAGGGACAATGTATTTTAACAAATAATTGCAAACCTGACGGCATTAACGCGAACCCCTTTGGGTCCCAACTCGAGGGCCAATACTTCTGTCAACATATTTAGCGCCGCTTTTGCTGAACAGTATGTCAGTTGGGATTTGCCCTTTAAATTGCATTTTATGTCATAATATATTAGTATCAATATAAATATATCTAGTTAATATTAATATAATATACCGGTAAAAATGCTAAAATACTGGAGATATCAATGATAGTGCCGTTAGTTTTCTCCAGATATGGGACAGCCGTATGTATGGTCTGCACGACAGCCCTTAAGTCGATGTTAAACACCAAATCAAACTCATCGGTGATATTCTTGTCGTGAATGTCAGATGTGGGGTATATCCCGGCGTTGTTGACCAACACATCCAACTGTCCAAACGTTTTGATGGTTTCATTGATAAGTCTCTCGACGTCTT